CGCTGCCCCGCCCGCTCCCCTCCCCCCCCCCGGGGTCGTGTCACGAAGGTTCGGGCTTACGCTACTACCGGCCGCTGCGCAGCTGTCACCTAGCGCCTGGGAATGTGTGGTCTGGTGCGGATTCAGCCAACTACCGGCTCGCGACACCAGCGCCACGTAGTGGCGACGGTACATTCTTTTTAGACACACTGTACACGTCAGCACGTGAGGTCACCGGTTGACCTACAAATTGTAGCCCAATCGGGCCAACGAGAGGCGGGAAATTAGCCGGGATTCGTCAAATAGCCTCAGGGCATATTTCGTATATCGCGTTTGGCTTGATATGTTTATTTCTTTACAAGGTAGAATTTCCAAATTTGGTGTGTGATTGGATGCTGACCGTGTGTGAGTTTTTTTCTGATTCGACGGAGGTGTGGTAATGCACGTGCGCACGTGCACACTGCACACCCCATATTTACAGCTAAAAACGGACAGGTCGATCTCAGTAGAAGCTGGTGTGGGCAATTCCACGACAAATCACCTTATTTTTTTCCAATTGTTCACCATGACCTCTCCGATTTTGCTCAAATTTGGCATGTAAGTTGACCTATGGGCACTACTTCGTCCCAGTAAATTTTTAGTCTCTAGGTCACAGGGGTCATGAGATATGGGTCATGCAAATTTTTAGGTTTTCCGGAACATTGAAATATAAAGTATTTTTTATCTCTGCAACGGTTCACCGGATCAAAAAAAGTTATATATGAAATAAGAAGCGCAAAGGCTGGTGCGTCTAGCAAAAATGTGAACGAAACCCCAGGGTCATTTTTTGACCCTTTGACCTCGTGACCTTTTCTTGACCCCGTGACCTTTCAAATTTGTCCTATTTCAAAAATTCTGATTTTTTCTATCAGAGATGTCTTATCCATGCTCTTAATAGTGGTATGTGATTTGGTTGGTATATCGGACCCGTTGACCTCAAACTGAGGTCGACAATGTGGTCATGACCTGACATGAAAATGACATCTGCCGAGAACGTCGAGAATTATAGGCAATATGGGTGTCATATGAAAGCTTACTTCACGGAGAATACATTGGTGGTGTTTTTGAGTAGGTATGGGCCGGGTCAAGGTCACATTAGGTCAGTGACCTAACACAGCATTGTGTTCTTTGAAAGTGGCGTATTTTATTTGTTTGGTAAGCCCAGTGATCAGCACACAATAAAAAGGAAACAAAATGTCATAAAACACCGTCTGTCTTTATTCAAAAAGCCCAGATAAAATGCATTCACCCATATACACACACTCGCACAAACACACACACACATACATACACCTTGTTCGAGGAAGATCTTTCAAACAAACCTCAGTAACACACGCGGTGTGAAGAACGAGTCTCAGAAGACTAGGAGAGCTTGAAGGCTGCTATGGTGTGGGAGTCGAGCGGTACAAAGCGGTGAAACGTCCTGGTACCTACTACCTACCCTTCACCGTGCGTGCACTTGTGAACCGTTCTCTTTCATTTTCGTCTTCGTTCCTGCTATTTGCGTTGCCGAAACGAAGAAGAAATGCATTTTATCGGTAAGGTGGTCCTCACAGTATTACCAATACCATCGCATGCGCTTTTGCCATGCGAGGTGGCAAAAAATCCACTCACATTGAACACCGAAATCCTCGGCATGATGACATATATTTGCAAAATTGTATTTGTTCTTGTACTGGGACGCTGCTCCGTCAGAGAAGTAGTGTTTTTTTTGGTCTTGGGCATTCATTTCAAATGTGGGGAATAACCACAGCCTGAAATGCCGCTTCAGCTCCCGCGTCAGCTCCCGCAACGCAAATAGCAGAAACGAAGACAAAAATGAAAGAACGCTTCACAAGTGCCCGCATAGTGAAGGGTACCAGGACGTTTCACCGCTTTGTACCGCTCGACTCCAATACCATAGCAGCCTTCAAGCTGTCCGAGTCTTCTGAGACTCGTTCTTCACAGCGCATGTGTCACTGGGGTTTGTTTGAAAGAACTTCCTCGAACAGGTGTATGAATGTGTGTGTTTTTGCGAGTGTGTTTATATGGGTATGTGTGCATTTTATTTCTGCTTTTTGAATAAAAAAGACGTTTTATGACGTTTTGTTTCCTTTTTATTGTATGCTGATCACTGGACTTACCAAACAAATAAAATACGCCACCTTCAAAGAACACAATGCTGTGTTAGGTCACTGACCTAATGTGACCTTGACCCGGCCCATACCTACTCAAAAACACCACCAATGTATTCTCCGTGAAGTTAGCTTTCATATGACACCCATATTGCCTATGATTCATGATGTTCTCGGCAGATGTCATTTTCATGTCAGGTCATGACCACATTGTTGACCTCAGTTTGAGGTCAACAGGTCCGATATACCAACCAAATCACATACCACTATTAAGAGCATAGATAAGACATCTCTGATAGAAAAAATCAGAATTTTTAAAATAGGACAAATTTGAAAGGTCACGGGGTCAAGAAAAGGTCACAAGGTCACAAGGTCAAAAAATGACCCTGAGGTTTCGTTCACATTTTTGCTAGACGCACTAGCCTGTGCGCTTATTATTTCATATATAACTTTTTTGATACGGTGAACCGTTGCAGAGATAAAAAATACTTTATATTTCAATATTCCGGGAAACCTTAAAATTTGTATGACCCATATCTCATGACACCTGTGACCTAGAGACTAAAAATTCACTGGGACGTAGTAGTGCCTGTAGTGACCGTAGCCTATGGGTACCGTCGTACTGAGTACCGAGTACTCGTTTCTCTATTGTGTCGTTTCTTGTCCGCCACTATCGGAAATAAACAGTCTCCATCTTGGACAAATCGTGGCGTGTCGTGGCCCGGACCGTTCGACGGAACTACACACCCAGGACACTATAGTGCCCATAGGTCAACTTGCATGCCAAATTTAAGCAAAATCGGAGAGGTCATGGTGAACATGCCTAGGTGATCTGTCATGGAATTGCCCGTGTGCTATTGGGAAATAACTAAGTGCATTTACTGTGTGCTTCAGAATTGGTGTGGGTATGCACATATGAAGGTGCACAACCCATTTTTAGAGCTTAGAGCACAACCCATTCACACCCATTCTCAGTAGCGGCGGAACATCTTCAATTAAGGGGGGGGGGGGGCACCGCCAACTTTTGGTCCCATTCTTTCCATGCAAAGCCCATAGGGCTAATGTTAAAATGCCAAAATCAAAGGGGGGCACGGTGCCCTCCCCGTTCCGCCGCCTATGCCCATTCTGAAGCACACAACGCACTTTGGTATATCCCAATCGCACACCAGCTTTTACTGAGATCGGCCTGTCGGTTTTTAGCTGTAAATATGCGGTGAGCAGTGCGCACGTGCGCATGTGCATTGCCACACCTTCGTCGACTTAGAAAAAACTCACACACGGTCAGCATCCAATCACACACCAAATTTCATTGCAATCGGTCAGTCCGTTCCTGAGATATAACAATGGGTGTGCACGTGCCACGTGCGCACGTGAGCACGCGCAGAGCTACAAACTCCTCGGTGCACGGCACTCTACTTACTGGTCTCTTGCAAGGTGCCAAATTTGAGCGCAATTGACACAGCCGTTCTTCAGATGTGGGAGCGTCACCTTGCACGTGCGCACGTGCAATATGGGTCCCAACTTACTTTCGCACGGCACCCTACTCGCTGGTCTCTAATCGTGTAACAAATTTGATTGCAATCGGTCCAGCCGTTCTCGAGATCTGGAAGCGACCCGTACACGTGCGCACGTGCATTACCACACCTTCGTCGACTTAGAAAAACTCAAATGCATTCAGCATCCAATCACACACCAAATTTCATTGCAATCGGTCAGTCCGTTCCTGAGATATGACAGAGGGGTGTGCACGTGAGCACGCGCAGAGCTACAACCTCCCCGGTGCACGGCACTCTACTCCTACTGATCTCTTGCGAGATACCAAATTTGAGCGCAATCGGCCCAGCCGTTCTCGAGATCTGGAAGCGGCACCCTGCACGTGCGAACGTGCAATATGGGTCCAAACTGACTTTTGCATGGCACCCTTCTTGCCGGTCTCTAATCGTGTGCCAAATTTGAGCACAATCGGTCCAGCCGTTCTCGAGATCTGGAAGCGACCCCTGCACGTGCGCACGTGCAACAGCACCCCAACCATGGCATATGGATATGCATTACCCGGTGGGTGCCTACATGCATGCCAAGTTTCAGCGAAATCGCCTCAGTAGTTGCTCAGTTACTGTAATGGGGACAAATTTAACACCTCTTCTGTTTTTTTTTGCACTTTGCACGTGCAGCGGGGGTCACTCACGTGCACCAAGAGTATCCAATGTTTGTTAGAAGGGATACAGTTACTCTACAAAAGTTATCGCAAATCAATCGCCCCAGTGGTTACTGAGATATAGGCATCTCAAAATTGTTACTTCAGCAGAACGACTTGAACACCCCCACTCTTCACGTGCCACGTGCCACGATGGTCACCTGAATGCATCATGAGTAGTGAATTACGGGGCAGAAAGGATGGGGCTACCCAACAAAGAAGACCGCAGGCCAATCGGCCCAGCGGTTGCTGAGACATCAGCCTCTCAAAATGCTGATTGAAAATCCGTCATTAAAAATAAGAGGCCAAAGTAGCCCTCTTATTTTTCGCGCCAAAAACGAGTGTCCAATCCAGGTAGTTCATGTTATCTATGTAGGTACAGAGCAATGGGCAATTCAAACCTGCAATGTCGGCAAAAATCGTTGACCTTCTGACCTATAACTTTGACCCTAGAGGTCACCCATTTCTAAAACTTGTAGGATGTATTTGTTTTCACAGGTGCTAAGAGCCTACCAAATTTCATCCAAATCGAAGGGGGTCGGGTACATTCGTGATCGATTTGACGTGGAATGACCCAAATCTCTTTGTTTGTTGTTTGTTGGGGCTAGGGGCGCGCCGACTGCAAGGTCATTTTGCGCCCATAAAAACATTTGAGAAGGTAAAAACAAACTCACTTTTTCAGGAAGGCCGCCATATCAACAACAAACTGCTGTTGATCAACATCCTTCACCCCTGTGCAAGGCATCTGAAATAGAGAAACAAACGGGTCAACAACAACGTATCTCAATTGGTGTTAGTTACGAAGTGTTTAGCTCAAGTTCATTCTTTAATTAATCACTAGATGGCCATCTTTGCGCGATAACTACCTATACGTTTCGATAGATATTGTTGATGGGGCTTTTAGTTAAATTGTCAAAACTTGTATGTTTATATAAGTAGGGTTGAATTTGGTAGGTAGTTACTTCATTAAACTGTATGGTACGTATGTATGGGTTTTCGAGGCGCGCTGTAGATACGAAAGTTGGGACGAAAGTTAACTTGGGAATTATTAACCCGGCAGGCGGCGGGCCTCCCGGCCACCTTCCGCGCGGTGGGGGGGGGGGGCATTTTTTGCCCCCCCCCGTATCTCCGAAACTACTGGACGGATCCGAAAAATTCAAACGGCGTTCGATAGCCCTGTCAAATTTGTCGAAGGAAACCAAATTTCATTGACCTCGGGGTCACCGATGACGTCACAGGTCAGGTCAAAGATAAAATGTTTCACCGTTCACAGGGCTTCTAGGGAAAGCACTATAACACCGAGTAAAACGCATTTTGTCGAAAATCAGCGATAGGGCGTCAGACTTGTGATCAGCTCAGTTGAGCCGGCTCAAAAATCAGCTCAGCTCATGAGCCGGCTCAACATTTTGCCAAATTGTTGAGCTGTGAGCTGAGCCGGCTCAGTAATGCATTGAGCTGAGCTGCTGTCTGAGCTGAGCTGAATGAGCTTGAGCTGAGCTGAGCTGAATGAGCTTGAGCTGAGCTGAGCTGAGCTGAGCTGAGCGAGCTGAGCTGAGCTGAGCTGAGCTGAGCTGATTGAGCTGAGCTGAGCTGATTGAGCTGAGCTGAGCTGATTGAGCTGAGCTGAGCTGATTGAGCTGAGCTGAGCTGAGCTGAGCTGAGCTGATTGAGCTGAGCTGATTTAGCTGAGCTGAGCTGATCCAGTTCTAATTCTTTTCAGTTCATGCTTGGAAATTAACTCAGGATTTGATGCTTCAGCTATGAGCTAGCTATGGAGTGAGCAATTACACTGCCTTCGTGATCGCACTTAAAAATATCAAAACTCTAAAGAAATCAATATTAATCACTAATCAAGCTTAATTTATTTCATCCATATTGCATGGAAATTGGAAGACCAGGGTCTTGGCCAATTTACAGGCTAATACAGCCAGTCTCAAGTTTCAAGCCTGACTGCAAGATGAATACCTACTGTCAGGCTTTGATGCTTCGCCTTGACACTCTGCTCCGCAATGTACAATTCAGCATTCTTCACTTTGTTATTTAAGCAGTCATTTAAATTAATTTTATCGATAAGGGTTCTTACCTCTGCATAAAATATTTACAATTAGGAATTAGCAAATAATGTTCCTCTTCGTTGGTTGAATGTGGGCTAAGCGACCATATCCTATTGAAAGTGGGGTGGGGCAGAGGCGCTAACTGGAACTCTCACCTTCTGATGTCCATAATATGGGAAAAGCTCCCTTATTCACACGCCGACTATGAATTCTAATTGTGTTGACATTGCCTTGGTTGATATCAGGGTGGTGTTTGGTTTCACTCAAGGTTTCACTGATAACAGCACGCTGCTATCACACGTGCCAAATGGGGTTTCCATGGAGATATAAACAAACTCTTATCTCCAAGTTCCAACACTACCCCAAAATGTAACGTCAGCTCCTGGCAGGGTGCCAAGAGCGGATGGCGGCGTGGGCGTGCTGCTCTCGGCCGTGAAACACCGCCTAGTTGAGATGATTCCATGGCGTTTTTTTCGTCTAGCAGATTTTCGTCCGACTTTTCTTCGTCTGGCATTTTTTCGTCTGTACATTTTTTTCGTCTGTAAACTTTTTCGTCCAGACTTTTTTCGTTCGTATATTTTGAACTTATATGTTATGTTAACATCGCGGGTGCACACTCTGATAACATGTGATAACACTGCCAAGAACAGTCCATTTCATGTAACTATAGTCTGAGTCCAAGTAGACGCACGACTCGCAAAGTCTCAGGGTCTTAATGAGCTTATCTCTTTTGCCCATTGTGTAGGTTGCCTCGCTCCTTGTTAGAGGAGACTTACTTATGCGCCAAGAGTTGGTCTGTTTTTTAACCCTCGCCCGTATTGGTGTTTTTCCAGACGCGAACGTATAAGGGGGCGGGGGTCCGTTGGACCCCCCCCCCCCCCTTGCCGTTTCGTCCCTGATCGAGCTAGAGCTTCGCGGAAAAAAAACGAGCGTGCTGCCCGCGACGAGAGGAAGCCGATGATACCCAATTTTAAGGTCCTAGGTTATCGGTTGACCTTCCAGGTCAGGTCAATGACCCAAAAGTCGGGAAAATCGGGACCTGTTAGAACGTCGTAAAACGTGGCTGCTATGGGTTTTTTCGGGGTGCTGATCACGAATATCATGTTAGTTATGATCACTGATGATGTCTTTATGCATTGAGGCCAGGTCGGGTCAGGTCAGGTCAACCAGTAAGGATTTTGCCGGGTATTCGTAGTAGCCTCTGACAGCTTCGTAACATGTTACGAAGGCACCAAAAATGCTTCGTAAATGTTCAAATGGTTGCTAAATTCGAATTCAGCTCCAAAAACTAGCCTAGAAACATGTAAAACTCGAAAAAGTGAACCGAGGTCATCAAAGGTCAATGACCTGACCTGACCTTCCGGTGACCTTGACACCCACCCTAATGCATGGGAGCAACATCATATCCTATGTTTGAACACTTGAAACCACAAAAAGACTGCTAACGCGCGGCTAATGCGAGCCGACGTACGCCGAATCGCGATTCCGGCCAAACATGGTCTCGAAAAGTAGGTCACACGTCAAAGGTCATTAGGGTCAGGGTCATGAAATTTTCAGGATAGGTGTAAAATTGATTATCGCGAGGGTACTGAAAGTTTCGTCGCGATCGGCCGCTTTTTACGCGAGTTATTCGCGAAAAACAGAGGGGGTCCGTTCGACCCCCCCCCTATACGGGCGAGGGTTAAGCATGTCCGATTTAAAAAGAACGACTGAACGATCTAAGCGTGAATTTAACTGAGCGGAAACTGAGCTAAGCTGAATTGAGCGGAAACTGAGCTGAGCTGAACGGGAACTGAGCTGAGCTGAGCTGAGCGGAAACTGAGCTGAGCTGAGCGGAAACTGAGCTGAGCGGAAACTGAGCTGAGCTGAGCTGAGCGGAAACTGAGCTGAGCTGAGCTGAGCGGAAGCTGAGCTGAGCTGAGCTGAGCGGAAACTGAGCTGAGCTGAGCTGAGCGTGAGCGGAGCACAGCCGGTTTGAGCGGAGCGTGAGCTGAGCTGAGCCGTGTTAAACTGAGCGGGAGCTGAGCGGGAGCGGATAAAACGGAGTTGAGCTGAGCGAGCTCACTTTTTTCTTGAGCTGTCACAAGTCTGTAGGGCGTCAGTTGTCTAGTACATACATGGGCGTAGGAACCTCACGAAAAGTGGGGGGGGGGGGCCAGCGAAACTTCAATGTCACTTTGTGGGAGCCCCAATACCCCTATGAAGAAATTCTTTGCAGTTTTGTGCTCATCTCACCTTGCTGAACGATTTCCTGCTCTTAGTTTTGTATTTGAATCAAAAATAAAGATTTTACTTTGAAAAATGTCTGAAAAGTGGGGGGCCATGGCCCCCCCCGCCCCCCTGTTCCTACGCCTATGAGTACATATGTTGCTATTAGAGGTCACTGGTCATACCAGGTCAGGTCGTCAGGTCACCAAAGGTCAATAAGGGTCACCACATGAACCCAACTTGACTTAGGTTGTGCGATGCATGTTTTATGGCCAGTTTTTCATTTCCAACTCAATGGTGTTGGTTATAAGACCATCAGGTACGGTTTAGGTCACTTTCGGGTGGAGGTCAGGGCAAGGTCAGGTCAAAAAAGGTCAAATTTGAAAGTTGATATTTTGCATAAAATGGGTATTGATTCCATTCAGCTTGTCACGGGGAGTCTAAACTCTAATAGTTGTCTTTTTTTCGCTTATGAGGTCTAGAATTGCTAAAAATTGAGTGAAAATTTGACGTCATCAATTTTGAACAGTTTTTCGCTATAACTTGGCCAAAAAAGAGGTATCAATCTCAAATTTGGTATGTAGATAGAAGGCGGTAAGGACTATCACATATCTTCCGGTTTTTTCGAAATTCAAAAAACTTTTTGGATTTTTCGGCTATATATTCAAAAAATCTTTTTTTTTATTTTTGGGAGTCAAAATCCAAAAGAATCAAAAATCCGAGATGACAGTTTTGTAGCCCTCTAAATTCTTCACCTTTAATGTCTGAAACATTTTTATGTATCTCTAAAGCTGTAGGCCTGACAGCTCTTCTCGCAATTATTTTTTTTTTGGGGGGGGGGGGGGTAGAAAATGGCAGAAATGACGTCACTCTGGCGTCATTAGCGTCTAACCATCATAGCCTTTGCAAAAATTTTGGTCACAAATTACAAATTTTCGTTTGTGAAATATTTTCTTTAAAGGCGAAATTCGCTTCACCATATAAGAAATTTCAGTGATGTCACCAGGGCTTTACTCAGAACCTCCGACCTACCTGTTTCTAATAGGTATCTTGGCCCATAATCTCTCCTAAGAGTAAGACATTGCCTTCAGCACAGCACTGCTCCACCACAAGTATTAGGTACTATAACATCACTTTCATAACAAAATTGAATAGCATAATTTCTTTCACTCAGCATTGGAGTTATTCATTAGATCCTTTCCACATGGCACAAATAGCTGGTGGAGTGCGGTGGTGGCCGGTGGTCACAGCAAATATTGAACAGGTGCTTTAAAGGTAGTGTGCCAGCTTTCTTAGACCATCTGGGCCCTGTTTCACCGGTGATAGCAGCAAGCTGCTATCACGTTTCGCGAGCTGACGTCATGTCGTGACGCCATACTGTTGTCATAATGGGTAGTTCCGGCGCACGATTGCCGCGACCTTGGCGGCGGCATTAAGTGACGTATGAGCCTAAAAGTAAGAGTTTACGCAGTCATGATAGTATATATATTTTTGATATATATTTTTTCAATATGATGTATTTAAAAGAAGTTGGGTTTAGGAAAAATTTGGACATTAACTTCGAACATTTAGCTGATGACGTAAAACAATATTGCGGCAATCGTGCGCCAGAATTGCCCCTTACGTCAGCAGTATGACGTCATCACATTACGTCAGCTCGCGCAATTTGATAGCAGCGTGCTGCTATCACCGGTGAAACAGGGCCCTGGAGTTAATGACCCGGATAAGGAGAACCAGTTTTTTAGAACTTATCCATACCTTCAAAACTCATGGAAACGTCTTAAATTCTTCAAATTTTGAGTACCCCAGTGCGAAATTCGCCCCGACGGGTTGTCGGTCGTACCCCAACCACATTTCACACCACTATGAACAATAAATGCACACACTAAAATCAATTTCATTATTTAAAAATAATCGGATCTGAGCAAAAATATCAGAGGACATTCTCAGCACTATTCTAATCATGAATCTGCCAGGCATTTGATGCGCATTTGCTTCAATTAGGGTGCAGATCTGCTTTTGTATGGGGCCGTACCCAAATCTGCTATATTTGGGTACGATGACGTCACATGCGTACCCATTTTTGGAAGATTTCTGTTAAAAATAGCAGACTGCTAAAAATAGCAGATTTTACCATAGTTTCCCCCAGGGCTGCGGAGTCGATGGATTTTCAGCGACTCCGACTCCGACTCCAACTCCGGCTTTCAAAAACCAGCTCCGACTCCAACTCCGGGCAGAATTGTCGACTCCGATCGACTCTGACTCCGCAGACCTAGCAGGGCTGCGGAGTCGACATATTTTCGGTGACTCCGACTCCGACTCCGGCTCGGGTTTCTAAAATTGACTCCGACTCCGGTCACAACTGTCGACTCCGACCGACTCCGACTCCGACTCCGCAGCCCTGGTTTCCCCAACTGATTTAAACAACAATGGCATGCTTGCAAACGAACAAATTGATCGCTTCTTCAACACTATAAAGCTTAAGACGACGAAGATATAGCCTGAAGTATACTAAATTTCATGGGTGCAAAACCTGCCGCTAAAACCCGCGAGACCTGTACCTTTAAAGGGACCCTCCCACCTTCAAAAAAGTTAATGAATTGGCATGAAAGTGATGTCGCTCGGTTCAGAAAGAGCAAAAACGAATATCTACCAAATTTCATCGAAAAATATTCACCGGTTTTCAAGATATTAGACTTTTACTTTTGTTTACTTTTTGGGATCTCCGCTGTTCCTAGCGACTTTATTTGAAAGTGCGGCATTTGTTGCGCGCAAAGCAGCATGTACCACCGCATGCTGCAAAACGTTTTAGTCAAACATTTAACGGACGTTCGAAAGCCTGATGACGTCATCAGATTCCCGTAATGGTTAAGAGATAGGGACCACGCTGGTCCCACCCTGCAAGTAAAGGGAAGAAATTTCTTGAACACCATAAAGCTGCGGGGTTTGCGACCAGGATAAATGGTGGTTTCTGAGCCTGGCCGCAAACTTGGCTATCTCAACTCAAAACTAATGTTAAGGTGGGAGGGTCCCTTTAAATGCGTTCCTCTTCAGTGTAAACAACCGAAACGCTGAACCAGAAACACAAAACAATATTAACTCAAGAAAAATGCTGACTATCGTAAACACGAGAAAACATTTCACGCGTATCTATATACTTTCCACCACATACCTTCACCCCTGCAAGGAAGAATCAAAAAGGAACTCTCGCGTCATTTGCAGCGCTGGAATTGCAATAACACATTTTTCGAGGCATACCTACATACACTACATAATGTTTAAATTCTTTTTTAGCTCTAACATAAGCACAATCATTATTTGATTTTTAATTCAAACATTATATTGAGTGCATTTTTATTACCACAATGACAGGATTCATGATCACATATCACATACTGTTATACCCAGTTATACCTATACCACACGCGTATTTGGAAATTCCGACCACGACGAGCATCTGTGGTAGAAAACCAACACTTTGGTATCCGGTTGTTTTTCAATAGAAAAACACAATTCTAACGAATAGTGTTTGTCTTTTCAAACAACCTGCGGTTAGGGGAAACTACTGCTGTCTGCTACCATTTTCACCGCGCGTATTTGGAAATTCCGACCTCGACGAGCGTCTGGGGGAAACTACTGCAGTGCTGTCTGCTACCATTTGCACTGCAGTAGTTTCCCCTACCAAAGTGGTGGTTTTCTACCACAGACGCTCGTCGAGGTCGGAATTTCCAAATACGCGGGGTCGCCTCGGTCGTACAAGCTCTGACATATAGCCTACAGCGGCTGACAATAACCCGGTTTACATAGCATATTTGACGAGGCTCTAGCTCGTTAATTTGGCGATAATTTCGATGCAGTGGTCTTCAAATATTTAGAGGGGATCATTTTGTAAATTGTTCAGCACCATTCGCATCTTTTGCAACATCACGGACGGAGATATTAGCTTGCAACAAACCCTATGTAAACCGGGTTAACCCGCGCCCTGCTGGGGGGGGGGTGTTTGAACACCCCCCCCTTGCGGTTTTTCGCGAATATCTCAAAAACGGCGGCGCGGAGCGCCGCCGTTTTTGGTACACCTTATCATACATCAATTCTACACATGTTGTGAAAATTTCAGACCAAGGTCATTCAAGGTCAGGTCACCAGCAGACTTGTGATCAGCTCAGTTGAGCCGGCTCAAAAATCAGCTCAGCTCATGAGCCGGCTCAACATTTTGCCAAATTGTTGAGCTGTGAGCTGAGCCGGCTCAGTAATGCATTGAGCTGAGCTGCTGTCTGAGCTGAGCTGAATGAGCTTGAGCTGAGCTGAGCTGAGCTGATTGAGCTGAGCTGAGCTGAGCTGAGCTGATTGAGCTGAGCTGAGCTGAGCGAGCTGAGCTGATTGAGCTGAGCTGAGCTGAGCTGAGCTGAGCTGATTGAGCTGAGCTGAGCTGAGCGAGCTGAGCTGAGCTGATTGAGCTGAGCTGATTTAGCTGAGCTGAGCTGATCCAGTTCTAATTCTTTTCAGTTCATGCTTGGAAATTAACTCAGGCTTTGATGCTTCAGCTATGAGCTAGCTATGGAGTGAGCAATTACACCGCCTTCGTGATCGCACTTAAAAATATCAAAACTCTAAAGAAATCAATAGTAATCACTAATCAAGCTTAATTTCTTTCACCCATATTGCATGGAAATTGGAAGACCAGGGTCTTGGCCAATTTACAGGCTAATACAGCCAGTCTCAAGTTTCAAGTCTGACTGCAAGATGAATACCTACTGTCAGGCTTTGATGCTTCGCCTTGACACTCTGCTCCGCAATGTACAATTCAGCATTCTTCACTTTGTTATTTAAGCAGTTATTTAAATTGATTTTATCAATAAGGGTTCAATTACCTCTGCATAAAATATTTACAATTAGGAATTAGCAAATAAAGTTTCTCTTCGTTGGTTGAATGTGGGCTAAGCAACCATATCCTATTGAAAGTGGGGTGGGGCAGAGGCGCTAACTGGAACTCTCACCTTCTGATGTCCATTATATGGGAAAAGCTCCCTTATTCACACGCCGACTATGAATTCTAATAGTGTTGACATTGCCTTGGTTGAGATCAGGGTGGTGTTATAGGTTTCACTGATAACAGCACGCTGCTATCACACGTGTCAAATGGGGTTTCCATGGAGATATAAGCAAACTCTTATCTCCAAGTTCCAACACTACCCCAAAATGTAACGTCAGCTCCTGGCAGGGTGCCAAGAGCGGATGGCGGCATGGGCGTGCTGCTCTCGGCTGTGAAACACCGCCTAGTTGAGATGATTCCATGACGTTTTTTTTCGTCTAGAAGATTTTCGTCGGACAATTTTTCGTCCGCAGATTTTAGTCCGACTTTTTTCGTCTCGCATTTTTTTCGTCTGTACATTTTTTTTTCGTCCGTGCATCTTTTCGTCGGTACATTTTTTCTGAGCGGAAACTGAGCTGAGCTGAACGGGAACTGAGTTGAGCTGAGCTGAGCTGAGCGGAAACTGAGCTGAGCTGAGCTGAGCGGAAACTGAGCTGAGCTGAGCGGAAACTGAGCTGAGCTGAGCGGAAACTAAACTGAGCTGAGCGGAAACTGAGCTGAGCTGAGCTGAGCGGAAACTGAGCTGAGCTGAGCTGAGCGTGAGCGGAGCGCAGCCGGTTTGAGCGGAACGTGAGCTGAGCTGAGCCGCGTTAAACTGAGCGGGAGCTGAGCGGGAGCGGATAAGACGGAGTTGAGCTGAGCGAGCTCACTTTTTTCTTGAGCTGTCACAAGTCTGGTCACCAGGTCACTTGAAGTGACCTCACCTCATAAAAAGTTTCAATGTCTGTCATAGCTACACCGAGTGACCGATCGCTTTGAAACTTTCAGCGATTGCTAAGAGCAATAGCATGTACAAAATGTATATCTTAGAATTTTGATATCGATGACCTAAGGTCAGGTCAATTTTGCGACCTCCCCATTATAAGTCAATGGGAGAAAATTGAAATGCGCCTCTTTTGGACGAAAGACATTATAAACACTCCCAAACACTGAATTACAAGTGGTATAGACACACTGAACATGAAAATGGTGTCCGTGACCCCTGTTTATGCCCTGAGGTCATCTTAGGTCACGAATGATATCTAACAGTTTTTCGCAAATAACTTTTGATAGAGGCATGCTAGAGCGATGAAAACGCCTTAGATGTGTTCAGCTCGACGATACGGATCGACTGATATGCAACATGACCCTTTCCGGTCAGGTCATGACCTTGACCTGAGGTCAAATTTTCAAGTTGACCTTTCAAGGTCAAGTTATAGTTCATTCGATGCGTCTTGACGAGAGGAACACGATGCCGGTAAAAGTAAGATCGTACAAGGCTTGGGTCAAAAGTTATTGCAGAAAAACTGTTTCCGAAAAAATCGGCTATTTTTGCATTTTTTGCCCCCTGCAGGCAAAACCGTTGACGTTAGGTCAAATCTGAGAAATTACTCAGAAAGGGCGTTAATAGGGCTATCGAATGCGCTTTTCCGCGGTGCTGTAGCTCTATTGGTTCCCGAGTTATGCGTTGGCTTCTTGGAAATTGTCGACACTCGACCTGGAAATCGGCGAAATTTTGCCTTCAATGACCTCTGGTGACCTGACCTTTGACCTGACCAAAAAATTGACCGATGTGATTTCCTCATTATTTTTGACGCTCTTTCGAACGCCGCCTTCCGCGTATCGCTACGTGGCCCAGGAGCCGAGTTAGAAGGGGGGGTGTTCAAACACCCCCCCCCCCCCCAGCAGGGCGTGGAAATCCAGGACCCCCAGCCGGGCGCGGGTTAATGTTACACTGCCGTACGAGGGTCGTTCAAAACGCTGTTAGTCTCGTATGGTTTTGACCTTCAAAAATTTTAGCCGCCGTTTTTATTAGATGATCATCATGTTGTACTCATCCTCTCCGACAGTTTGCCATGGGTCATTTCCGACTTAACCATTCCCATTACTTCTGAAATCGAGAGTTTCTCAGCCGATCCGATTTTGCGACCTCCATTTTCATGCCTGACCCATGGTCAGAGATGAACCCTTTTTGTGAGCGCATGAAGGGTCGAATGCGCTTGAAAACAATGAGACTGCTTGAGGAAGGTTGTTACGAATGCCCATGCAAAATTTCGACCGTTAATTAATTGTTGATTTAGAATTATTGACAAAAAAGCATCGCTGGTACCTGTCAACGAACTTTTGAGACACCCTGTAGTTCTTTCGACGCGTCTCGACGGGAGGAACACGATGCTGGCAAAATAAATCTCGTCACTGTCTTGAGGCAAAATGTATTGCAGAAAACGTTTTTCTTAAAAACAGATATTTTTGGAGTTTTGCCATCTGGAGGCTATACCGTGGACCCGATGTCAATTCTGAGGGCAATTATCAGAAAGGTCTGTAAAGTGGCTATCAAATGTGCTTTTCCGCGGCGCTGTAGCTCTATTGGTTCCCGATTTATCCGTTGGCAGTTTCCAAAATTGTTTAAATGGACTAAATTGGACCTTTGATGACCTCTGGCGACCTGACCTTTGACCTGACCTGAAAACTAAACAAAGTGTTTCCGTCATTATTTTGACTGTCTTTCGATTGCCGCTTACTGCGTGTCGCTACGTGGCCCAGGAGCCAAGTTAGAGTGGGTCGCGTGAAACCCCCCCCCCCCCCAGCATGACACGGAAAACACAGGCCACCAGCACGGCGCAGTTTAACTAATAGGTAATGGAGAGGTCGCAAAATTGACCTGTCCCTCAATGTAGATATTTTGTCTGGGGATTACGCAAGGCGAATGTTCGGTGAGATCAGCAGGTACCTATGGCGCTTATTCAAAGTCGATCATGCACACTCACATCATCAAAGGTCGTTTTCTATACTACGTCGGCTGAGGACATCCTTATACCTTAGTGCCACTATATGGGACAGTCTCACGCCTCATCCATCTGGCACTCATGCAGTCACCCATGCCCACAAGTAGGGACTGCGCGCACTATAGACATCGAATTTAAGGTGATTTGTGGAGAGAAAAAAAAAATCCAGAACGTATGTCAGCGTTCGGTCGCCTCTGACTGCAGTCGCTGCTAGTAAGTAGTATGACTATCAGTTGGGATCTCATGGTGGATCTTATGCAGTCTGAAATGTTTAATCTTTCCTGGATTCCAATTTCGGCAATAAGTCGCAGCGTGAATCCTTCATACTACGTGCGGTCTTAGATTCTAAGCACGGCCACTCCGGTCGACCACAGGCTGCAGCCCACAGGTCACTTTGGATCAGTGAGTGAACCTGTATAAATTTTTGCAAAGAATAAAAATGTGCTCATCGATCAATGTATGTCTTACCGTTTCGAATTCGCATGGATGCGTTTTTTTTTTTTTTTTTTAGAATAAAATGTCCGTAGCCTGAGCTCGTTTCCTATATCG